GCTTTGCCCCCTGCAGCCCCCCAGCCGAGCCCCCCCGGCCCCCCCATACCGTGCAAAGCCCACCCCCCGGCTGGCCCCGTGGGGGTCCCGCAGGATGCGGGTCGAGACCACCTGCCCGAAGGGCTTCAGCAGCGCCTCCAGCTCCTGCTCGTCCACGCCCAGCGGCAGGTTCGAGATGTACAGGTTGGTGGGGTCCTGCTCCTGTTGCTGTGGGGGGGTCAGGGGGCTGTGGGGACCCACAGAGGGGGGTCCCAGGGGGCTCGGGGGGCTCGGGGGGTCCATACCTTGGCCATCTGCGCCTGCACCCCGCTGGCCTTCAGCGCCGTCACGGCCTTCTGGGCCGCCGTGGGGCTGTCAAAGTCCACGAAGCCGTAGCCTGGAGGGGGGGCAGGTGGTGAGAGGGACCCCCAGAGCTCCCCTGAGCACCCCCCCATAACCCCACAGCCCCCCGACCTTTGCACTTGTTGGTCGTCTTGTCCAGGATGGCTTTGGTGGAGACGATCTTCCCGTAGCTGAGGGGGGCGAAAAGGGGGACTCAGTGCCCTGCAGGACCCCCAGCCCCCTCGGGGGGGCTCTGGAGGGGGGAACAGTGAGACCCCAGCCCCGGGGAGGGACCCCAGCCCCACTCACGGCTGGCAGAGCTTGACCAGGTCCTGGTCCGTGGTGCCGGGGTGCAGCCCCCGGATGTAGAGGTTGGTCTTGCTGAGCTGGTCCGGGGCCCCCCCGGCGGGGCTGGGGCTGGGGGGGCCCAGGGGCTGTGCCGGGGGCACATAGGGCTGCTGTGGGGTCGGGGAGGGTCAGTGCCCACCGCTGCTCCACTGCAGCCCCCAAAATCCCAACACCCCCCCCCTCCAGAGACAGTGTGGGTGTGGGGAGAGCGACCACAGGCCCCAGCGGGGCGCAGGGACTGACCCTGCCCATCCTGGGAGTCCCCTGGTCAGGAGACACCCCCCCGGGGAACCCCCCCATCCCTGGGGACCCCTAAGCCAGAGGCAGCTGGAACCCTCTGGGCTGATGTCAACGTGCAAACGTGAATCACCCGCGGCCGCCCCCACACCCCGGGCCCCCCCGGGACCCTACCAACCCCCCCTGGACCCCCACCACCCCCCTTGGAACGCTGTCACCTCCCCCTGGGACTCCTGGACCCCACCCTCCCCCCCGGACCCCCTCATTCCCCCCGGCGCCCCCCCCCCCCCCCTAACCCGGGGCCCCCCCCCCCCCCCT